GAGAATGCACAGAGGAAAAAGCAGAGAGACATCCTGTTAAAAGCAGGAGAGCCAGCGTGCAGAAGGGTGGTTCATCTCACAGAGCAGCGTGGCTCCCACCACCCTCTTGCAGTCTTTAAGTCTTCAGGAAAGACTTTTTTTTTCCTCCCTAAAGCAGCATTTGCAGAAAATAAATCCCCTTAATCCTGAATGCAGCCATTCCCTGGATAACCCACGCTCTGGTAAGGCAGAGATATCCCCAATGCCTCACTCCGTCACCATAAAACCAGGCATGAGCACTGCAGGAGCCCCTTCCCATCCTGTCAAGATACTACCAGCCACAGGCACGAACCTCTTGGGGACATCAATGCTGTTGGACACAGATCTCTGCAGTGCCTCAGGCACATCCTGCAGCCTCCAGCATGTATGTGAGCCCTGTTCTGGCTGCAGCACCTTCACTTTGTCGCTGGGTGGGTTGTGCTGCTCCACCAGCCCTGTGCACTCCTGCCCGCTGTAGGTGACAAGAACCTGAAAAACAGCCAAGGAGAGCATTATTGGTGCTGCATCCTGATGCACAACCCCACTGCTCAGGGTCCTTCTTCTGCAGCAGGGGGATACTGCAGGGTATTTGGGGGATGAAGGCTCTCCCAGAGCTGTCAGAGAATCACAGAATGGCCAGGGTTGGAAGGGACCTCAAGGATCATGAAGCTCCAACCCCCTGCCACACGCAGGGCCGCCAACCTCCACATTTCATAGCAGCCCAGGCTGCCCAGGGCCCCATCCAACCTGGCCTTGAACACCTCCAGGGATGGACGGGGCATCCACAGTCTCTCTAAGTAGCCTGTTCCAGCACCTCACCACTCACATGGTAAAGAACTTCTGCCTGACATCCAACCTGAATCTTCCCTCCCTCAACTTCAAACCATTTCCCCTTGTCCTGCTGTTATTTCCCCTTTCAAAGAGTTGATTCCCCTCCTGTTTGTAGGCTCCCTTTAGGTACTGAAAGGCTGCCATGAGGTCACCCCGCAGCCTTCTTTTCTGCAGGCTGAACAAGCCCAGCTCCCTCAGCCTGTCTTCGTAGGGGAGGTGCTCCAGCCCCCTGATCATCTTTGTGGCTCCTCTGGACCCTCTCCAACAGCTCTCTATCTTTCTTGTACTGGGGGCTCCAAACCTGGACACAGTACTGTAGATGGGGCCTCACAAGGGCAGAGTAGAGACGGACAAAAACCTCTGTGCCCCAGCACACCAATGTGGTGACAGCGTTCACCCCAACCCCACTGCTGAAATCTGCCCTTGGAGCAAGCTCCCCAACTCTGTCAACTTCACATTCAGCTGCTCCTCTGAGCATCATGACTTTGGATGGACTTTTCTCCATTGAATCTGCCTGCTTTTACTTTGCCTGCAGGTCATGTTGCAGCAAGGATGCCCACTACTATCACACCTCCTGGGAAAGCATGTAGATAAGAGGGTAAAAATCCAGAGGAGAAAGAGGTCTCCTGGGCACAGTGATCCTAAAGTCACATCCCAGCTCCTCCCATCACGGCTCTCATGACCAGGAAGAGACATTCAAACCTCACCTGCTCCTCTCTCACAGTGTCTCCCTTGCTCCTGTGGGCTATTTTCCAGCACAACCACCCATGAGCCTATTTCTGTTAATGGAAATGGATCTGTGTCCAAAGAAGTTACATATCTCTCCAGCTATTTATAGGCACAGGAGCATCTCTTTATGGAAATGCTTCGGGTGTCACACGAAGAAGCTGACATGGGATGGACACAGGCACCCATGCATTGACCAGGGAAAAGCACATGGGACCATTCCAGGTGAGACATCTGGCAGAAAGAACGAGGTGGAAAAAGCCACAGCGGCTGGACCAAGGCTAAAAGAGTGAGTGCCAGATCAGTCTGATCTCACTCACAGCTTCCAAAATCCATACCCCTTATCCAATGATCCCAAAAAATAAAGAGGCAAGGCTTCTCTCTGAACACCATCTGTCCCTGTGAGTGAGGCACTGCACAGGGAGGTGGCATCTCCTTTTGACACCAATCCCAGCTGTGTCACACACACTACTTTTAAGTCATTTCCAGCAGCAAAGCAAGTGAGCAGAATCCTCTGCACTGGAGCACATAGGAGAAAACAGCTCTCACTGTCCTGTGGCTTGTAAACACACGGCAGGAGGAATCTGCCCTTCCCACAGCACAGTGCTGGGCACAGGAGGAGCCAGAAAAGTGAACAGGGGCTGTATTTACACGGCCTTTCACAAGCTCTGCCCTTAGTAGCTTTTATAGGTCTGCAGGTAGAAGACAAGAACAAGCGCTGCTCCCCACCTCAGGCAGCACGAGGCCAAAGCACAGCCACCCACAGGACTGGACAGGCATTCTGGGGGATCCGCAGCATCCCAGTCCTTCCTTAAGAGCTGCTTCACTGGCTGGGTCTGTGCCACCAACCATGCCCAAGTGGGGTCTCCAGACCCCTTACCCACAGACCCTCAACTGGGGTGGAAAAGCTCTGAAGCTCAAGCAGGTGACATGGGGATCAACACCTCCATAAAGCAAAGCTGGGGGGCTCCTTGGTGTGCTGACATCAACATGGGTTATGGCACAAGCTTATGGAAGAGAAGTCCACCAGGAGACACTGCTGTATGAAAACCATCTCCTTCAGCCTCAAATAACTGATACCCAGGCTGAATGTGGCTCTGGGCAGCCTGGTTTAGTGGCTGGCAACCGTCCCTGTGGCAGGGAGGTTGAAACTCATCATCTGATCATTATGGTCCTTTTCAACACAGGCCATTCTATGACTGGGGAACACCACTGAGAAGTGTCCAGCCTTCTCTGGACAATCACTTTTGGCTGGGATCAGAGGCAAGAGAGAGGTCTCGGCTCGAGGCAACGTATTCCAAACCCAACACCAACGCCCATCAGCAGCTCTCCCTAACGACAGCTCCCCCCCGCAGCTACAATTAGGAGGAGCCCCAGGAGTTTTCTCCCCCTGCCAACGCACAGCCCACATCCAAAAGCTTCCTTACGTACTTGTTGCCGGCGGCTGGGGCTGGGAAATCTCGGTGCCAGGCCGCTTTCCTCTGCAGGCTGCGTGCAGGACACGTCGTCTGGCAGCACGGCGTGCATCTGGGGAGCTGCCAGGACCCCGTCAGCCAAAGCACCGGGGGCAGAGACACGGGTGCCGAGCAGGGAGCGCTTCCCCAGGCGCCTGGACAGCACGCTCGCCATCGCGGCCACGCTGCGGGTGACAAAGACATGATGGCATTACCACCAGTGCAGGATTGCAATGCTCAACCGGCAGCATCGACCGCATCGGGCACGTGGGGATGGTGGCATCGCTCCCCCTGTCCCACGGCTTTCATCCTTAAAGTCATCACAAAAACCTCTTTGGAGAAAGGGGAGCAAAGGGATGAGTTCCCACCTGAGCCTTCTCTTCATGCCTCCAGTATAAAGACACAGCATGGAGACTGGGGACACCCCCCAGTAGCATCATACTGTGTTTTGCCCCCTTATCTCTACTCACACTCCATACAACCACACTCCAACTCAAGCCCAAGCTGCTTCCCTCCTTGGCACTCTGCTGCCCCTCTTGGGGCTTTTGGAAGCTTCCTGCAAGCTGGCATCTCGCACCCAGAACCTCCAGAGCCAACAGAACAGCTGCTCCCTCCTACTATGAGAAAAGGTTGAGGGAACTGGGCTTGTTTAGCTTGGAGAAGGCCCCGGGGAGACCTCATTGTGGCCTTCCAGTACTTGAAGGGAGCGTAGAAACAGGAGGGGGAACGGTTTATGGGGGTGGATAATGACAGGACAAGGGGGAATGGTTTTAAACTGAGACAAGGAAGGTTTAAGTTAGACAGTAAGAGGAAGTTTTTCCCCCAGAGGGTGGTGAGGCACTGGCACAGGTTGCCCAAGGAGGCTGTGGATGCCCCATCCCTGCAGGCATTCAAGGCCAGGCTGGATGTGGCTCTGGGCAGCCTGGGCTGCTGGTTGGTGACCTGCACACAGCAGGGGGTTGGAACTAGATGAGCATTGTGGGCCTTTGCAACCCAGGCCATTCTATGATTCTATGAATCCCTTGAAATGATTGGGATCACATCTGCTTCCAGCAGACCCCATGGCCTTTGAAGGCCAGATCCCATTTCGGTGCTCCGAAAAGCACAAAGCAAAGCAAGGAGAGCAGGCGCTGCATTCACCGCCGGCGGAGCTGCCCCGAGTCCTCCCAGCTGTTTGCAATCATGCACTGCAGGGGTCAGCGCCGGCACCGCTCCCAAATTCTGTCTCGCTTCCATGCCGGCTGTGCATTTTGCAGTTTCCAGCTCCGTGCACCTCAGCAAGGCCTGGGGAAAGGAGGCACTTTGCACGCGTCGTTTGGCAAACAAGGAAAGCTTCGTTTAGCCAGAGGGGAAGGTCTGGGGCAGCAAAGCCCGGGCTGCTGCTTGCTTCAGGTTTGCAGGCAAACTGCAGGAAAGGTTACTGCTCCATGCATGCATCTGTGTGCATGTGCATAAGCACAGTGTGTGTGCACGTGCACTATGCATGTGCACACATGTACAGCAATTGCAGCACAGCCCAGTTTTCCTCCTTTTTCATACAAACTAAAAAAAAACCAAAAAAGCAAAAAAGAAAACCCAAACAAACGCCAATAGGTTCCTTTGAACGCAACTGAGCTCCTGCCACCGACCAGCAAAGCAGACCATAAAATTCATCCTTGAAGAGCCCTGAAGTGCTGCAATAAGTGATAACAAAACACAACTTTTCCAGCCGGCTTCCAAAAGCCGCCCTCTGAAGGCAGAGCTGTTCGACAAACCGCAGCAGGACACGGGCAGGGAAACAGATATCTGCACAGAGCAATCTGCAAAGTTTGGGGTTTTGTTTAAAGAAAGAAAGCTCCTGAGAGCGGGAAGGCAACGGCTTGGTGCAGCGCCAGGACGTGCAGCACAAAACCCATAAAGCAGCTCCGGCCAGGACAGCAAATTCCTCCTCCCTCTCCAAACGGAGCAACGATATTCTTTTGCAAAAGTAAACTAAGCGCGTGGGGAAAGCAGGCGGGCAGCCGTCCTGTGGGGTGATTCCCGAGGAGAACACTTTTGGAAGAGGCCTAAAAATGCACTTTCCGGCACAGGGAGGAGCGCGGAGCGGCTTCCCCCGGGAAAGGGCCCCCGGGCTGGCGCTGCAGGGAGCCCGGCCCTGCGGGAAGGCAGCCAGGAAGGAAAAGGCGGCAGCGGCCGAGCGCAATTTGAAGCTTCGGTGCAGGCAGCAGGACGTGGGTGCAGCAGGAGAGGCGCGCAAGCAAGCAAGCGGGAGTATGGGCATGCATGTGCGTGGTCATGCATGTGCGCGGTCATGCATGCATGTGCAAGTGTGTGCAAGCGTGCACGGCACGCGTGCAAAATGGCATTGCCAAGGGCAGGCGGTGTGTGCCCAGGCCTGCAACGGAGGGAGGCACCGGGTGGGGCACGTGTGCGTGGGGCGGGGGGAACACGAGTGGGGTGTGGGGGAGAAGGGGGGGGGGGGCTCACCGGGCAAGCCGGGAGGCGGGGCGTGCAGGCAGAGAGCATTGCTGGGGGGCGTGGCATGCAATGGGGTGCCTGCAATTTGGGGGGGGGGGTGCCCATAGTGCAAGGGGGGCGCTTGCAATGGAAAGGGAAGGGGCGTGCATGCAATGCGGGGGGGGATGCGGACAGTGCAATGGAGGGCGCACAGTGCAAGAGGGGTGTGCGCACAGTGCAAGGCGGGCGTACAGTGCAGCGGGGGGGTGCGCACGTTGCAATGGGGGGTGCGCACTGAGCAACGGGGGTGCATGCAATGCTGACGAGCGGAGGGGGGGCTGCAGCGAGAAGCGGCGCGGACTCGAAGCGGTTTGGCACCCGGGAGGAAGGGGTTGGAGGTTCCCCCGTTCGCGCAGAGCGGGCGGGAAGCGGCAGCCGGTCCCCCCCTTGTGTGATTTCCCCCCCCGTTGCACTGTACCTCGGCGGGGCTCCCCGAACCCCCTCCCCCGGCCGTCCCCGCCGCACGTACGCGGCCACCGGCGGCAGCAGCAGCAGCGGGGCCTGAAGGGAGGGAGGCGCGGCCCGGCCGGGCGGGAACCGCCGCTCCCGCCCCCTCCTGGCATTTTTTTTTTTTTTTTTCCATTTTATTTTTACTTTATTTTTTCCCCCCCTCCCCTCTCCTTCCATTTTCCCTCCTCCTCTCTCCCCCCTTCCACGCCGTTTCCCCACCCCGCTCTCTCCTTTCCCCCCTTGGTGTTGCGGGCGCCCCGCTCTGCCCGCTACTCACGCCGTCCCGGGGCCGTTCCTCGCGCCTCGCCGCCGGCCGGGTTAAAGCTCCCGGGGCCGGGCTGGTGTAAACAACCTCCCCACATGCTCGGCCCCTTCCTGCGCATTGGCTCCGCCGCGGCCTTTCCATGCACGCCCCCGCCGGGGCCGCGCTGCCCGGGGGAAGGAAGGAAGGGAGGAGGGAGCGGCTCTCCTTCTTTTTCTCCCTTCTTCCCGTCCCGGCGGTTCCTCTCTGAGCCTCGCGGGGCCGGGAACGGTTCGCGTGTTTCAAAACGCCTTTGGGAGATTTGCCTTTCCAACCTTTGGGCGACCTCGGAGGGGTTTTCCTCCGTTTGAGCGGCTCTAACAGGAACCAAAAGAGGAGCGGCCGGGCTGCGCTCGGGGGTTCTTACAGCCTTATAGCGGAGGGGGACGGAGGGATCTCTGCCCTAAAACGCTTTGCTGGGCACCGGGCTTCGTTCACACCCCGCGGCTCAGCCAACACGGTGATCGTGCGTTAAGCCAAACGAACCCGAGTGAAACAGCACCTCCGCCAGCCCGCCCCTCGGCTCTCCTCTTAAAGCCCAAACCCACCGCTGCCCCTACAGCCCCGCACCCCCCCACAGCCATCTCCTTCCTCGCCCCCCCTTCCCCCTTCCTCAGCACGGCCGTCCCTGGCGCGTGCCCCCCGCCCCGCCCCGGCGCTGAGCGGGAACGCCGCGTGCCCCCCCCGCCGCCGCCCGCGCTGACTACGTGCTGTTCCCCACGTGGAGGCCGCACGCGCCCCCCGGCCAGGGAACAGCCCGCACCGCACGTTCGCGCCCCCGTCCGCCAGGCGAAGGAGGAGGAGGCGGAGGGGGTGGGGAGCGCGGCCAATCGGCGGGTGGCGGAGGGGCGGGCGGAGATCCGCGAGGAACCAATGGGAGAAGACGGCGGGGTGCGCCGACCAATGGAAGCGCGGCTCGAGGGGAAGCCCCGCCCTCCGACTCCTCTAGCGGGGCTGCGGCCGAGCGAGGCGCCAGAGCGGGCCGGCTGTGGCGGGTGGGCGGTTCTGCTGTGTCGGGAAGCGAGTGTGAGGCCTTCGGGGCCCGGCCTAAAGCAGCTCGGTGAGCCCCTCACGGGGCAGGGAGGCTGATTTCGCTTTTCGCTTCCCACAGGAGGAGGAGAGCGGCCCGGAGCTGCAGGTGGTGCCAGGCCCGGCCCGGCCCGGCGGAGGGCGTGCACGGGCGCGTCTGTGTGCAGAGACATGGCTTCAGCGTTAAACCCGTCCTGTTTTAACACAGCGTTCAAAGTGCGATAAAGGAGAGTGTAACGAATGAGCTGATCGGCTGTCAGTCCCAAATCCAGCAGAATTCCTCCATGCCGTCAGAATCTCTTGTCTTCAGGTGTTGTTTGCATCTCCCTCCAGCTTGGCTGCTGCTGGCTTCGCTAATTTCTCATTTAGCGATGGAGTGTGGGGTGGATGTTGGGTTAAAACTGCTGGAACTAAAGTAAATGGGGTGGGTTGGAGCTCAGCCTGAGTGAGAAGTAGTGGGGCCACAACCCTGACAATCCGAACCCCCATTTCCATCTTTTTAATAGTGAGATGAAGAAGAAAGTAGAGAAGGCAGGAATAAAGGAAAAGCAATAAGAAGAAAGGAAGGAATAAAGAAAAAGGAAGGATAATGCAGAAAGAAAGGAATGGAAGAAAAGCATTGTATTCCATAGTGTTTGGTAATTTGATGAACAGGAATGAGAAAAGCAGCTCTTAGCCGAAGAGCAATGAGAAATAGGAAGGAAAGAATAAAGAAAAAAAGGGGATGAAAGAAATGAAGAAGTGTATTCCATAGCTAATAATGAGATGAAGGAAGGAAGAAATAAAGAGGAAGAAAGAATAAGGAAGGGGAGATTAAAGAAAGAAATGAAGAAAGGTGTGGTATTCCATGGAGTTTAGTAATGAGATGAATGAAGGAGGGAAGAAATAAGAAAGGAAGACAGAAAGAGAGGATGAAAGAAAGAAATGAAGAAATGTGTGGTATTCTGTAGCATTTAGTAACGAGATGAAGGAAACAATGAGAGGAAGGAAGGAGGGAGGGACAGAATAAGTAAAGAAGACAGAAAGAAAGGAGAGGATGAAAGAAAAAGGAAGAAAGAAAGAAAAAAATGAAGAAATGTATGGTATTCCATAGAGTTTAGTGGTGAGGTGAAGGAAACAGAAAGGAAGGCAGGAAGGAATTAAGAAAAAAAATAAGAAAGAAAGAAGGAAAGGGGAGGATGAAATAAAGAATGAAAGAAATAAATGAAGAGAGGTGTAATGCTGTATAGCAGTTAATAATGAGATGAGGGCAGCTTTAGAAATCATGCACTGAAATCGTTTCACGCAGGGTAGAAGCTTTTCTGTGGTTCTTTCAACCTGAGGAGCACCAGCCTCTCATGCTTAATAGGACTAATGTACCCCATATCCATTAATTAGTCAAATAGTCCCAATTTGAACCCTTTTCGTTTGCTTGGTCTCTGCAGCATCCTGCCCTGTCCGGTTCACCCGCAGCCGATGTGCTACACGAAGAAGTTGCTTCATCTTGTTTACCTTGAGATTTCTTTGGTGTCCCCAGCTCTTGTCCTACCTGTATGCTGTATGATTATTCTTTAGCCTCCCTTGGAATATCCATGACTCAGGAGCTCTTTATCATGCCTGCCCCACCAAGCACGTAGTTTGCAAAGTGTCCTTGGCTTTTTTGTCCTCCCTGGTGCAGAAACTGTCTTCTCTGATTACCTCAGTGACCCTTCCCTGCAGCCCGGCTGGTTTTACATACGCTTTTGGAGACGGAGCGGACGGAACTGCATCAGTCATCAAATCTGGTGCAACGTAGGTTTATGCAGCAACATCAAATCATGTTTTGGTTTCCTTTCCTTTCAGAATAGCTGCCAGCATTTGATTTGGCTGCTGCGGAGTGCTAAACTGATCTTCTCACAGAACTATCAATGATAACCCCAGGCCTCTTTCCCTGAGAGGTAATAGCTGATGGTGGCCCTGTGTGAGGCAGGGGGGTTGGAGCTTCATGATCCTTGAGGTTCCTTCCAACCCAGGCCGTTCTGTGATTCTGTAACTTTATACATACAATTAGTATAATTTTTAGATGTTCCTTGTTGACATAAAACCTCACCTGCCATTGTATCTGCTCGTTGTGCTGTGCTGTGCAATATTCCCCTTGTTTCAGGCACAGTTATTTGGGGTAACTTTGTCCTCCCTGTGAACATTGTCACCTCACTGCTTGCTCTTTGTTCAGAGCTTGTAACAGTGTTAAACAAGTGACTGTGCACTCCAGATCCTGACCCGTCTGCTAACATCTTTCCCTGGGGAGCTGCAATGAAACTGCTTATCCTGCTCAGGTTTGTTTGCTTGTTTATTTTCTAATGACCCAGTCACCTAGGAGGCTTCCTTCCCCATCCCATAAAAACTTGGCATCTTGGATGGGGAATCTTGGTGAATCTCCATGAAGCCGTAAGTGAAAGATTCCAGTTGAAAGTCTTTTGTGATGGTTTAGCCTGTTTTGCAGAAGTAGAACTATGCCAGATTCTGTTTTCCTGGCGTTGCAGCGTTCCCCAGCACAGTGTTCTCATGTTGTGTTGAATGCAGTGTGAGCAACGTACCCAATTTTTTAATTATTGTGCAACATTTTAAAGCAGAGTGGAAAAAAAAAACAACACAAAAAAACACAGTGGAGAGAAAAATCCAATACGTAGAGCTGTGTCCACAGGATGATCATTAGTTACAGCTTTCATTTCAGTTAATATTAAATGTTAGCTTGAGTCTAACAGTGCTTAGCAGCTGAAAAAGCTTGGCTTGGTTTTACCCACCCACTGCTCTGCCTAGCGCTGTGCTTTGGCCGCTGTCCCTCAACCTCAAGAGATTATTCATTTCTGAGTACACAAGCTCAGGATAAACTGCTTAACTGACATTTTGGGTCTATTAATATCGTTCATTTTGTTTTGGTACGAGATGAATCAGAGCCACGCCACCAAGACCAAATTAACCAAATAAACTGGAGGGGTTTTTTTTTTTGGCCGAAGTTTCCTATGTGTCATTGACATCAGAAAGGACCAACGCGTACCGAGATCCAAGCAACTCCAGAGCGTGAAAATCCAGGTCCCAGTCTGAAAGTGACTCTTGTTCTTGCAGTCTCGTTGCAAACATTTGGAATGTGCTGTTTTTCAACTCCTCAGCTGGTTGGATCAAGTAAAATGGGGAAGGAATATGGGAAGAAATAAATTTATATATTTATTGCCAATTCATTGGCAGAATTTATAGCTGCCAATGGTGTTGAACAAGAGCAAGATATTTTCCTCAAAGGCAATCTCCATGCATCTGGATGCTTCCATCTGGACTTCCTGAGGTGTTGCACTGTTGTGTGCAGCTCTACTGACCCTCCTTGCGCTCACCTCGTTCCTATCATGAGCTGAGAACAGCAGAAGAACCCAAAGCCCTTGAGACTTGAGGTGCAGGAGTTCCTCTGTGTCATCTCCTGCCAGGGCGGTCTGGCCATGGGATCCATGCTCTGACCCACAGGATCCATGCTCTGGCCCAGGCTTTTGGGGTGTTTCATCCCAAAGGAACTCTGAGCTCATCGGTGCTGTGATGTTGGCCATTTTAGTGGTGAGGCCGGAGCCTCTGTGCTGGGATGTGGCGTCCATTTTAGATGACCATCGCCTCAAAATGAATGCGGTGTGGGGTGCGGTGTCCATTTTAGACAGCCATCACCTCAAAATGGCCTCGTGCAGTGCTTGACTCTGCATCTCAAATGATCCCAAGAAGCATCTGGACAATGCTCTCAGTCACATGGTCTGATTTTCCAGGAGTTGGACTCGATGATCCTTATGGATCCCTTCCAGCTCGAGCGATTCTGTGATTCTATGGATGGGATTTAGGAGGATTTTCTTATTTTACAGTGTATCGGCCGCAGAGGCAGCAATAACATTACTGAATTTAACAGCGCCGAGGTCTTGAGCACCACTGATCAAATCTGGCTGCATCCACGTCCCTGGAAAAGAGCTGCATCCTGGAAGTTGTCCACAGCTGGTGCCAGCCCTGCCCCTGGGAGCCACCCAAAGGAGAGGGCTTTCTCTGGTTATGTTCCATTTCCCTCAGCAGAGGCACAGTGCAGCTGGCACAGCTCTCCCAGCCGACGCAGCTCACGTATTAAAAAGCTTAATTCTCATGGGAGGAGGAAAATGTTTGGAAATGCCATGCCAGGGCTCCCTGATAGCCTGAAAAACCAGCAGGGTCAAGCAGAAGCCATCGAGCGTGTCTGTGGTTGCACAAGCTGCTTGGCGCGCAGTGTGCTCGCAGTTCTGGCTTTGGCAATGCCCTGCTCCTGACTTTTATACGCATGGGGCTGACGTGATGCAGAATTTAACTGTTACTGCCCAGGCCGTGTAACAGCAAAGCCCCCAGGCCAGCTGCTCCGCTGCTCTGTTCCTCCAGTGTTGCAATCCCATCGCTGATAATTCGGCTGGGGAGAGGTCACACAGGCTGTGGCATGGTTTGTGTGCCGCTGGCATCGTGGGACAGAGCCAGAGCTGGGCACAGGAGTGGATCTGGGCAGCTCCTCCGTGTGCTGGGCTGGAGCACTGCTCTGTAGGTGCAGGTTGCTGTGCCGTGCACCCGGCTCCTTCAGGCACACGCAGCGGAGCCTCCCCCTCCCTGCAGCCCAAGCAGGGAGAAGCCAAGAGAGGAAGAGACACTCACGAGGTTTCCTTTTCTGCTCTTTGCCTCTTTATGCTTTTTTTTTTTTTAATAAACTCTGGCCTGTTTGCTTTTCTTTTTTTCCCCTCCCTTCCTTCTCCTTGCTCATTTTTAACTCTTTGCTTCCACTCCCATAGAATCATAGAACCTGAGTTGAAAAAGACCACAATGATCAAGTTTAACCCCCTGCTATGTGCAGTCAGCAGGCTGCCCAGAGCCACATCCAGCCTGGCCTTGAATGCCTCCAGGGATGGGGCATCCACAACCTCCTTGGGCAGCCTGTTCCACTGTGAAAGCTCTGCTCTTTCCTTTGCACTGCTAGCACAGCTTCAGCAAGCCTCAGGTATTCTCCAGGAACCTTGCTTTTTTTGTACCTTGCTTGTTCTTGCATCTCATCTTGGCTTATTTTGGGAGCTGAGAGGATCCAAGCTACTGAAATCATAGAATCATAGAAGCACCAAGATTGGAAAAGACCTAAAAGCTCATCCAGTCCAACTGTCCACCTATTCCCAATAGCTCCCACTAAACCATGTCCCTCAACACAACATCCAGCCTTTCCTTGAACACCCCCAGGCTCGGTGACTCCACCACCTCCCTGGGCATCCATTCCAGTGCCTGACCACCCTTTCTGAGAAGTAATACTTCCTCATGTCCAGAAATGTTCCAAATGTGGAACTCCAAGCAATGGACACAAGCTGGAGCTCCTCTGTGGAGCTCTGTGTCTGGGTGGACAGCCCAGCATGGTCTTATTTGGAGAATATGATGGGGATGATTGGCTGTGTGGAGAAGCTCCTTTATGTGCAAAAGCTCTCTTGGGTGTGATGCATGAGAACGGTGATCCACGTGGGCTGGGTGGAGAGGAAGATGGCAGAGGTCTATGAAATTGTGGGTGCTTGGTGCTGGTGGGTTTTCCTTCTCTATAAGGGTGAAGAAGTGAGAGTGCTTTGCAGCAGCTGAAATCCCAGCCAAGCCTTTCTTGTCCAACCCTTGTGAGCTGGAATACCTTTCTGGAGGATGTTAGCAAGTCTCCTTACCCAAATCTCCTCCCTTCCCAAACTGGCTGGCAGCTCCATGAAGAGCTGTTCACCACCCAGCCAGTCCCAGTTCTTCCCCACCGCTTCATTCAGGATACAAAATTAATCATTAACCAACTTGTCCTTTGAGCGGCACGCAAAGAAAGCCGGTAACACTTGGCAGTAACACCGGGCAAGGCACAGCCCTGCAGCCTGCTTGCTTTTGCTAGGGAGCCACTCCAGGATCTGACACTGCCCTGTCACTGCCTGTGTTGCATCTCTCAGGCAGCAATTTTAGAAGTTCTTGTGAATATTCCCCAAACAGCCCACCTTTGGGCTCCCCTTCATGCCTAACGTGAGCTTATAGGGGGATAACTATAGGAAGGCAGATGGGTATAGAGAGAGGCGTACGTGGAGGCAGGTGAACATGCAGCGAGCATGTAGGAATGCAGGTGTGTTTAGGAAGGTAGACATGCATATAAGGAGGCAGGAAGCTGAGGTGGTGAATGAACATATAGGAAGGCAGGTGAGTGTATAGGACAGCAGGTGAGCAACACCATCGTGTGCACTGGAAGTGATTATGTAACAGCTGAAAATGGGGCCATGCCCATATGTTATTGGGGAGCACTCAGCACACGGACACTTCTGGACCCTGCAGCACTGGCATTTCCCCCAGCACTGCCCCTGCAGTGACCGAGGGCACCTCTGGGAACATTAAGAAGTGCTGAGCAGAGGGCTGAGTAACGTCCCTGATTTCCCCTGGCTCTGAGATCTCCCCAGATCTTGCACCGAAATGAGTCACCCCATGCAGCATGGCGCCAGCCATCGACACGTGAGAACAGAAACGTCCCCAGCTCCTGTGCCAGGAGTCACGTCAAAGGCGTATTCTTCTACTTAGTTGTTATTTTTTTTCCTTTAAAGCAAAATCCCTTTCTGCTCCATCTGACTCAGCCCCAGCAAAGCCGCTGCTTGAAGCAGAGCAAAGTGACTGGGTGACACAGGGAATTATGCTGTGTCCCCGTGGGATGCAGCTTGGTATTTTGGGGGAAAGCTCTGAGAAGACCCTGAGTTGCCCATACTCCATCAGTGCACGGTGAGCACCAAGCCGGTCCCAGGGCTGCAGGTGTGTGGGGACATCCCAGCAGCACACTCAGAACTCAAAGCCAGTGTCTGAGAGTGGTGTCCCGATGCTCCCTGAGCTCCAGCAGGTCAGGGCTGTGCCCTGGGGAGCTGTTCCATGCTCTCCGCCCTCTGGGGCAGAACCTTTCCCCAGCGCTCAGCTTTTTCCCAGTGTCCAATCCTGAGATCCCTCCATCTCATCCTACAGGATGTCGAAGCGTTTCTCTGGCAGTGCTGGAGCCGCCTCTTCCTCGGGCTCGATGCTGTTGGGTACCGTGTGCTGTGGTGCCCGGGACACTTTGCAGACACGAGCATACACAGGTATGGGGCTGCCTGGGCTGCACGGCTCCTCTTGCACAACAAAGCACTGCACCGGGTCCCCACTGTCCCCATCGTCCCTATAGGGCTTCTCCAGCCCAGCACTGAGCTTCTGGGATTTGTAGCGGATGCTTTCGTAGATGGAGCCCTGGGCATCCTGCACTGCGTCCACTGCGCGCTCTGCGGTGTCACCGGGCAGCAGCGGGAGCTGCCTGTGACGGAGGAAGTCTGGGGTCCTCGGGGAGGATTTAGGGGATGTGTTGGGGTGTGGTGACCCAGAGATGTCCGTGTTCCCCTCACTGGTGACGTCTGTCCTGCTGCAAGGCGATGCACCTACAGGGAAGGAGAGGGAGAGGCTGAGGTGGGGGAGATGCGTGGGGGCACCCCTTAATTTCAGGGTAAAATAGCAATGAGGAAATGTTCTTAAATGAGAGCTTTGGTGCATTTCTTCCTGCCTGCCGGCTCTATCCCTTCTCTTTGGTTTTTGCAAGAAATTCAACAGAAAACAAAGGAAAACCCCATGCATCCCGTGCTCCCCGCCTTCCCTCGCTGCTCAAATATTTATTTAAGGAGGAGGTTCTGCCCTGTGCGCAGGATCTGTCAACAGCAGGAGATGGCAGAGGGGGTGCCGAGCCGGTTTGTTCACCTCCGAGATGAAGGAGGCTCTGGAATAGGTTTCCTTCTGCATGTGAGTGTTCCTCTTCCTGTTGTAAAGCTGCAGAGACGTGGTGCTGTGGGACTTGGGGGGCAGGTTCCCTGCAGCAGGTGGTTGGGTGCAGGACCACAGAGAGGAAGTTGTGGGGTCGGAGCCATGACCTCCTTGCTGCCTTCCGTCTGTGTCCTGAAACCTCTGCCCCATGAGCATCCCAGTGTGAGCATCCCAGTGTGGGCTTCCCCAGAGGACCCAGCACCAACACCCCGATGGGCTCTCCAATGGAGATTCCCCCAAAGTGAACATCTCAGTGTGAGCACACCAATGGGAGCATCCCAATGTGGGAAACCCAGTTTAAGCATCCCAACCTGAGCACCCCAAAGCGGGCACCCCAACGTGATTATTCTAATGCAATCATCCGTATGTGATCATCCCAACCTGAGCACCCCCAAGTGGGCAGTCCAATGTGGGCACCCTCATGTGAACACCCTAAGAGAAACATCTCAAGCTGATCACTCCAACACGAATATCCCAAAGTGGGCACCCGAACCTGAGCGCCCCAGTGCAAACATCCCCATGTGAGCATCCCAAAGTGGGCATCCCACTGCAAGTATCCCAGTGAGCACCTCAACTTGAGCACTCTAAAGTGAACATCCCGACTTGAGCACCCTGAAGTGGACACCCCAATGTGAGCATCCCAATGCAAGCATCCCGACCTGAATGCTCCAGTGTGGGAACCCCAAAGTTGGCACCCCAGTGTGAGTATCCCAGTGCAAGCATCCCAATGTGAGCACCACAACACTGAGTTTTCCAAAGTGGACATCCCATCATGGGCACTCGAAAGTGGGCACCCCAATGTGAGCATCCCAATACAAGCATCTCCACGTGAGCACCCCAACCTGAGCACCCCAAAACGGGTGCTCCACTGCGGGCAGCCCCATGCGTGCACCCTAACACAAACATCTCAAATTGATCACCCCAATACAAAGATCCCAAAGTGAGCATCCCAACCCAAGCATCCAAACAAGGGGAACCTCAGCGTGGGTAGCACAGTGCAAGCATTCCCAAGTAAGCATCCCAAGAGGGCATCCCAACTTGAATATCCCAGTGCAAGCATTCCCATGTGAGCATCCCAAACGGGCGTCCCAATCTGAGCATCCCAATGCAAACATCCCAAGTGCGAGCACCCTACAATGGACATCTCAAGGAGAGAACCCTAACATGCACATCCCAAAGTGGGGACCCCAACGTGAGCATCCCAGTGCAATCATCCCCATGTGAGCACCCCCAAAACGGGCGCTCCAGGCTGAGCATCCCCCCGTGAGTGAGCACCATAACACAAACACCTCAAGCCGATCACCCCAACGCAAAGATCCCAAAGCGAGCACCCCAACCTGAGCACCCCAAGGCGGGCACTCCAATGTGAGCAGCAGCTCAAAGTCCCGCAAAGCCGCGGCTCCTCCCAATCCTCTGAGCGAGCAAATCATTAACGGCGCCGGCAGCACCGCGCCACGGACCTTCGGACTGCGGTGGCACAGCGCGCACACACGCGTGCAATGCACACTTGTGTCTGTGCACGTGTATTTGCACGCCCGCGGGCAAGTGTGCCAATGCCACGGCCGCGCGCGCACATAAGCGCGTGCATGTGCACATTTGCACGCGCGTGTTGCACGCTCAGGCGTGTGCAACTGTTTCCTCGTGCGCAGCACCCGTGCAGGTGGGTGGGTGCGCGTGGGGCAGTGGGAGCGCGCACAGCAGCAGGAGCGGGGGTAGCGGAACGCCGCCGCCGCCTGTCCCCATCGCTGTCCCCGTCTCTCCGTCCCCTGCCCCGTCCCTACCTCCCAGCAGCGCTCCTTCCCCATCTCTGCAGTCCGGTCCCGACAGCGTCACCTGCAGCAGAAACGAAGAGACGCTCGTGCACCCGCCCCAAACTCTTGTGCAACACTCGCGCACGCTCACACGCCTCATGCCTGCCCCCCATTGCGTCTCATTGCCCCCTATCACCCCCCAGCCCCGCAAATATCCTCTCTGGCTTTAGGGGTGCGCTGGGCTCAGTGCCTCTCAACCCCACGAGAGATTCTCCCCGCTCCCCCACCCCTAAGGCTGTCCCCACGTCCCCCTGATGTTTCGGGTTTGGTTTTATTTTTTTTGGGGGGGGGGGATTCGGGACCGTTCCCGCTGCCGACGCTGGGGGGCTGTCCAAGCCCGTGCGACAGCGCTGTCCCCAAGGAGCGACGCGGCGACATCCGACGACGTCTCGTTTTGAGTGAAGAAAGGATTCATAGGGGATGGGGGATGGAGGGGTGCACAGCCGGTTTGTCCCCTTGTCCGTCTGTCCCCCGCAGGGACGGGTTGTTACGGGTGGGGATCGACTGTTAATGAGATGGGGACATTAGCAGTGGGCACACGGGGACAAAAAGGGGATGGGGACACAGAGCAGAGCTCCCCCGGCCGCACTGCTCTCACCAGCCCGGAGTTCCCTGCGTTGCTCTGGGTGGAGAGGCGTCCGCTCGCCCTGTAGAAAGGGAATAGTGGCACCAATGTTCCCATGGCCACCCTTTGGCTGAGCCAAAAAGCATGGCACGACCCCCATGGGGTGCTGAGTCCTCGCCAATCCCCCATGTGAGGGCACATACCTGGGGCAGAAGGCGCAGAGGAACAGCAATAGCAGGAACCCAATGGGTGCAGCAGCAGCCAAACCCCACGGCAGCACCGGGGCCATCGATGGGAGCTGGTGGGGGACGGGCACACTTCAGGATAGGTGCAGGGGTGACCTCACTCTGCTTCCAGGAAGCTTTTCCCACACAGATTCCATAGGAATTCCCATCCTTTGCTCCAACCAGGGCTACACGGCACTGTCCCCCCGCAGCTCAGCCCACAAAGGATTTGGTGTGATAGCAGTGCGGGCAGGGCCCTGTGCCCAGGGTTGGCACCCATGGGCCGTGGTGCCTGAGGGCTGCAGGAAGCCGTGCCCCATCCCAGGCCTGGATTGCTGGCATAGCTGTGCCGTGACACAGCGCTGTCACACCCCATGGCGCCCGGCTCACCTCACAGCTTTTGCTCTTACTCAAACACCCGTGTTTGGTGGCTGCTCTCCCCACTGTTGCAATGGGGAGGGTGGGTGAAAAAGGGGCTGGAGAGAGGGGTAGCATCCCACTGTATCCCTAGTTAATCCTTCCCGCATTCGTGCTACATCCCTGCTGTATTCCACTGCATTCCTGCTACATCCCTATTGCATCCCTGCTGCATTCCGCTGCATCCCACCATATACCTATAGTATCCTTCCTGCATCTCTCCTGCATCCCTGGATCCCGTTGCACCTTTGCTGCATCCCTCTTGCAGCCCTAGTGCATCCCAAGTGCATTCCCACTGCATCCCTGCTGCATCCTCCCTGAAACCTTGCTCCATCCCCTCTGCATCCCCACTACATTCCTACTGCACCCCTATCATCCTACCTTCTCACTGCATTCTGCTGCATAACTACTGTATCCCACTGCATTTCCACTGCATCCCCACTGCATCCCTGCTTTATATCTACTGTATCCCACTGCATCCCTCTGCAGCCATCCTGCATCCCTGCTGCGCCCCTGTTGCATCCCTCCTGCACCTCCATTGAAACCTTGCTCCGTCCCACTGCATCCCTCACTGCATCCCCACTGCATCCCTCTTGCATCCCTATGGGACATTTCTGAACCCACCCAGGCAGCCCCCCTCCAAGAAACACATTCCCACCCTCCTCCCCCAAACTTCAGCTCTGTCTCTCACCAGACCCCTGCCCAACACTGACTGGGGGTCGGTTGGGCTCCGCACAGGAAAGTTTCAGGGTGGAAACCCTGCAAAGAGAACCTGGAGCTGCCCAACAGGCTGAGCCTGCTCTGCTGGCTCTGTGCTGCCCTGCCCGGTGCTGGCACCCTATTGTGACCCCCCCACCGTGTCCAGAGCACCCTGCCTGTACTGTGGAGCTGTTAGGGGTGAGTTGTCCCCAGCGTGGGTGCCCTCACCCCAGGGAGCTGGGTTCTGTGGGGTAATTGGTCATAGGCTGGAAGGATTTTTCTTCCAGAAACCCACTCAGTCAAGTACTCGTTCCTATTGGATGCTCCAGAGGAGCACAGGGGTAATTTCAGACATTGCCCATCCGTTCGAGCTCACCCTGCCTCAGTTTCCCCATCTGTACACTGACACCATCCTCAATGTACCCATGTTCCCCACAGCTCAGCCTCAAGGCCCAGGACCTCCAACACCCCTCTCTGTACCCTTCCCCAGGCTCAGAGACACTCACCCAGGTGCTGCTGGACCCCTGGGTGCTGCCGGCTGCTGCTCCACTCAACTTTGGCCGGGAGCAGTGGGTGGCACCCGTCACACCCCAGCTTCCTGCTGCTGCCTCACCCGGCCCCATGGAGCTGTGCCCTGGGCATGCGGGGAAACCCTGAGCCCCAACAGCACCAAAATCAGCAACCTCAGGGGGGTTCTGAACACCCATGGGGGGTCCTAACAGCCATGGGGAGTCCTGCAGCCCAGGGGAGATCCTGCAGCCCTAGAAGGGATCTTGTGCCCCCAGACCCAGCGCTATGGGACCCCCCTGGGGAGCTGCTGGGAAGGGTTAAGCCAGGATCAGAGCCCCCAGGAGTAGTGCTGGATCCCCCCTTATTCAGGATCCACAGCCATCCAGGATTCCCTCTGCACTCTCTCTGTCCCCAGCCATCCTCCAACCCAGATCCCCTCCATCCTGGATCCCCTGTACCCATGATCTCTTCCATCCTGGATCACCCTCCATCCTGGATCACTCTCCATCCTAAATCCTGTCCATCCTGGATCTCCTTCATCCGTGATACTCCTCCATTCCAGATCTCCTCCATCCTGGATCTTCCTCCATCCCAGATTGCTGCTCTCCCAGATCACCCTCTGTCCTAAATCCACTCCATCCCAGATCCCTTTTGCAGTTCCAGGTGGGAGCAGCTCAGCCCTGAGCCTCCAGATAGAGCTGTCCCTGCTCTGTGCTATTAAGATAAATTCCTCCTGTGACAAGCTCATCTCTGCATTGTCACTTCATTAGGATCCAGACACCGAAACACATAAAAAGCTGTTCAATGATGTTGGAAGAAAAAAAAAATCATTTAATTACAAACTCCCCCCAACGTGGCTCTGTGTTCTGCTGCACCACTCAGATCCGTGACCCCAAATCATGGAGCTATCATCAGTACTATTTGGAAAATTGGAGCAATTTGCTCAGAATGCAATACATGCTGAAGCTGAAATCTGAAAAAGACCTGTCCCTTCCCTTCCCTTCCCTTCCCTTCCCTTCCCTTCCCTTCCCTTCCCTTCCCTTCCCTTCCCTTCCCTTCCCTTCCCTTCCCTTCCCTTCCCTTCCCTTCCCTTCCCTTCCCTTCCCTTCCCTTCCCTTCCCTTCCCTTCCCTTCCCTTCCCTTCCCTTCCCTTCCCTTCCCTTCCCTTCCCTTCCCTTCCCTTCCCTTCCCTTCCCTTCCCTTCCCTTCCCTTCCCTTCCCTTCCCTTCCCTTCCCTTCCCTTCCCTTCCCTTCCCTTCCCTTCCCTTCCCTCTCCACTCCACTCCACTCCACTCCACTCCACTCCACTCCACTCCACTCCACTCCACTCCACTCCACTCCACTCCACTCCACTCCACTCCACTCCACTCTCCTCCTCTCCCCATCCTCTCCCCAACCCTTCCCCTCACCTTTCCCATACCAACACATGGGCACAGCCACAGCAAAGCTGACTCCCAAGAGGCAATAAACTCACAGTGCTCAGCACTGTTCCCAGTAGCATTCCCCCAGGAATATTTTGTTCATCACTCGAAAGGTGCCCACATGTTCTGCAGAGGGCAGCACGACATCGGTGTTGGACAATCACATCGTTCTCGGTGCCATTTCTGGGTGCAAATCTGTGCTGCCAAATCGCTCTGCAAAAAGTCTTCATGAAATCACAGCTTTTCTGCCTGGTTATGGGGACTGGGGACAGGGAGGTGGTGGGCTCAGCGTCCCTGGAGGTGTTCCAGAACTGTGAGGATGTGGCACTGAGGGATGTGGGCAGTGGGCACGGTGGGGTGGCTTGGGGTTGGAGTGAGCGATCTTAGAGGTCTTTTCCAATTTCCAACGGTTCTATGATTCTATGATTCCCTTCCCAGGCTGGCAGTGCCTGATAGCAATGCAGCTCTGAGATTTTGGCACAATGAGCCCATGTTGGTATCCTCCAAACCTGGGAGCAGTGGTAGCATTTGACAATTCTGGCCTGCTGCCGTTTGTAATTAAGCCGTATGCCTCCAGCAGTCATTTGTCACCCTATTTTAAGCCTGCTGGAACTGATGTGCTTTTCTGACGGTCTTACTTAAAAATTTAATGACTTTTAAAATTTTCCATAAGGCTGAGATGTATTCGTCACTCTGCATCACAGCTGCACGGTGCTGCCAATGCAATGCCACCTGCAGAGTTGGGTTTGCACCATGTTGGGCTCTTCCTCAGGGATCTCCCACAGCCCAAGCTGCTGGGCACCCTGCTCTGGGTGGCTCTGCTGAGGTAGGAGGGGACCAGAGGGACACAAGGATGCCTCCAGCCCTAAGCAGCCTGGGGCTCTGTGAGCTGGGTGCGGTGACGGATGGTCTCACTGGGGCTCCCTTTTCCACCAAAGGTTGGTGATATTGGTGATCCTTCAAGGTCCCTTCCCACCTGGACTGCTCTGTGACGGATCTGTCTTTGCAGCTGATTCAATGTTGGGAGCAAAACCCACCTAAAAGTCCTAAAAGTGAATGCCCCGTCCTGGAGGTGTTCAAGGCCAGGTTGGATGGGGCCCTGGGCAGCCTGGTCTGGTATTAAATGTGGAGGTTGGTGGCCCTGCATGCAGCAGGGGTGGTTAGAGCTTCATGATCCTTGAGGTCCCTTCCAACTCAAGCCATTCTCAGATTCTATGAATCTATGAATGAAAGCCATTCCCCTCCCATTTGATGGATAGGAAGACCCAACTGTACCAGCAAGGGCACAGCCTTTGAGCAGCATCACCACAGCATCCTCCACCCATGCTGCGGATGCCATGCCGCGTGCCAAATCGCCATTCCCCCAGCCAGCCCCAGGCTCAGCTCCGTGCTGTTCATGCTGCTCCCACGTGTCTCGGTATCTCCAAAGGGGCAGGAATCACGCAGCAGGGTGCCTGCTTTGGGACTGCCCTCTGAAATCCTGCCCGGCCATCGGGACTCCGAGCCGCCTGGCCAGCGGCCAGCAAAGCACTTAAGTGCGCACTTGGCTTCAAGCATGCAAGCCCTTCCAAACAACCTTAAGTGATTTGCTGGATCCAAAACAAAGTCATTAGCACCTTGCAGCACTAAGCCTCTCCGGTGCATGTCATCAGCTGTCAGTGATGGGTAAACTGGGATTAGGGCAAAACGCTCCCGTATCTTCCATCATCTCTCCTGAAGGCTTTGCCATGAGCTCCTGTGGCACAGGGACGGCAGCTCTTTGCACCTCCTGCTTCTTGGGCTGCGGGCTGTTTGCGTGCTCATTGAGTTATGTGTGCCAATTTTGGATTATGTTTCTTTGGGTTTCCTTTCAAAAGCATTTATTTAACAGACCTCATTTTATTGGATGCCATATATTGTTAAGGATACTCAGATTTTTGCTCATTTTCTTTGGCCATTTCTGAATGCATTACTCTACAGTTCTGTCTCTATGTATATATATAATATAGCATATAGACATTTATCTGTTTCCTTCTTCGTCCAGGTAACAGCGACAGGACAAGAGGTGGTGGCCTCAAGTTGCACCAGAGGAGGTTCAGGTTGGAGATTAGGAAACATTTCTCCTCCAAAAGAGCAGTGCTGCAGTGGCACAGCTGCCCAGAGGGGTGGTGGGGTCACCAAACCTGGAGATGAGAACAGCAGAGGTGTGGCACTGAGAGACGTGGTCAGTGGGCATGGTGGGATGGGTTGGGGTTGAACTGGGTGATCTCAGAGGTCTTTTCCAACCTGAATGGCTCAGTGATTCTACAATTCTTCACACACATGTACGTATGCAAATATGCACATGTACCTAAAGTCTTGGCACGTTGGTATCTATGGCAGTTTAAAGCTCCCTTCTTTGTTTTGGTTCTTCATGAGATGCACACAAGTTCCCCCTTCTTTTTGGCTGCAAATTCAAAGGAACTGGTGGGTTTGGATCCTTCTGCTTTCAAATGCCAAAATTAAAATAATGCTAATGCAGCCCATTGCTTTCAGGCCCTCAAACAAACTGGGCACTGAAATGCAGGAGATATGAAATTTATGACTGATTCTAAGTTAATTAAACAGCGTAATAATTCAATGCTCAAAACAAATGGATTTAGGTTACAAAGCATTAAAATGAAACAAGGGGGCTCTCAGAAAATTTCAGTGCTTCTGAGCATTTCAGATCATCCTCCTCCCTGCAGAAACAGCAGACGAGGGAATGCCAAGCCATCAGAGTATCAGTTTTCTTAAAAAATCATTCTCTTCTTTCAGCAGATGTACAAAGCTTCACAGAATTTGGAATGGATTGGGCCACTGAATACTACCAGTTATGGATAGATTTTTCAGGCCCTTGGCTAAATTATCATAGAATCATAGAATGACCTGGGTTGCAAAGGCCCACAGTGCTCATCCAGTTCCAACCCCCTGCTGTGTGCAGGTCACCAACCAGCAGCCCAGGCTGCCCAGAGCCACATCCAGCCTGGCCTTGAATGCCTGCAGGGATGGGGCATCCACAGCCTCCTTGGGCAACCTGTGCCAGTGCCTCCCCACCCTCTGGGGGAAAAACTTCCTCCTAACATCCAACCTAAACCTCCCCTGTCTCAGTTTAAAACCATTCCCCCTTGTCCTATCACTATCCAGCTTGTAAACAGCCGAGTCTCTCATAAAGCATACTAGAAGGGATTTCTAGGGTGGAAAGCTTACTTTTCTCCATTTGGTGGCCACGAGTTCCCCTTTTCCTATTGAAGATCTGCAGTGTGATTCTGAACAGCTTCCAGGGATGGGAGCACATGAGCCAGGATGCCAAGGAAGCCTATGGGCTACATGCAAGGCTCACCAACTTGCCCAATGTCCAATATCACCCCCAAGAAATGCATTAGGGCACTGCAACCAATGCACACCTCCATGGTTGTCAACTGACATCTACCAAGATCAGCTCGTGGAAAAGGAGCAGGGTATGAAGACACTGCTGTTCAGCTAAAATGCCATCACGGCCAGGATTCCATCGTGTCTCTCCTTCTTCCAGGTTAAACTTTGTGTCATCACAGTGCTGCTTAGCTTTGGCCCAGGATCTTTAAATATTCAACTTAATGCAGTATCAGTGGAAGTGTTAAAGCTCTCTCCATGAGAT